CAGGACAAGCGGTACCCGACAAACCTCGCAAGGAAGAAGGCAGTAACAGCGCGCCGTTCGTGGCGGCTTCACTGAACGAGGAGACGGACACCCTGCTTCAGGTAGTTCGGGTCCAAGTCCATGGCACCAGAGGCTCGAAAGAGGTTCTTGCGCTGCTCGATACCGGGGCGCAAACATCCCTCTGCCGTGAAGACGTTCTGCGCGACCTTGGGATCACCGGACACTGTCGCCAACTCCGAATTCAGAATGTGGAAGGAAGTGGCGTCCGGAAGCCCTCGCAGCGCGTCTCACTGACTATAAGCACACTGGATCCTGATGGAAGGAAGAGTGACATCCAAATCCCTGAAGTGTGGTCCGTTCCAGCTCTCAACTTGAGAGCCCCTGTGGTAAAAGGAAGCCAGCTCGAGGGATGTGAACACCTTCACGGACTTGAGTTCCCACAGTACGACGGTGGGCAAGTGGAACTACTTATCGGAGCGAACGTCCTAGAAGCAGTCCTGCAAAGAGAGACGCGTGTCGGACGCCCGAATCAACCAGTAGCAGTGAAGACCGACCTCGGATGGGCACTGACAGGATCGGTCTCGGCCATCGTTCCCAGTAGCTTGCGCCAAGTCATGTCCACGAAGCTGCTGCTGACGGAACAGGAGGACGAGCGGTCTGCTGCTCTCAATGAAGGGCGGTCTACCGAGCCTTTCGGGACTGAGCGCTGCCAGACTAAACCCAGGTCAAAGGAGGGAGAAAGAGTGGTCAAACCGTTGAAAGAGAGCACAATCAGAAGCCAAGGACGATATAAACCGGTTTGCTGGGGGCTCGATCGTCACCAGGCATCGCCAACTACGTCCTCAAAGAAACGCCCCAAGAGCACTGGAATGAAGGATGGACAGCGCCTCCCAGAGAACCCGAGCAGATCCAGCGAAGCTCCTACATGGATGACTTCTCGCTGTATGACGCGGATGTGGATAACGCCAAGCAACTGAAGCAAGGAGCCATCCGAGCCCTCTCTGATGGGAGATTCAAGCTGACTAAACGGAGGAGCGGCCGGCACGAAGTTCTGGAAGGCACTTCAACCAGCGATCTGGCCTCCGCCTGGGTGCGCCGACGGCTGCAGCAGAGGAATCCTCAGGAGTCGTCTGGAAGGAGAACCTTCAGCGGCACCAGGCGGCACGTCCTAGAAAAGATGAACCCGGCCGATGACTGCTCGAGGGGACTGGCTGCCTCCGAACTCACGTCCCAGAGCCGGTGGCTGAGCGGCCCAGCGTTCCTGAGCGACGACGAAGAGAACTGGCCGGCGCAAGCGCCACCGCCACCGCTGATAGACGACCTGGAGGAGGTGAAGTCAAACATCCTGGCCAGCGTAGTGAAGGGCGGCGACCAGCCGGAACGTCTTCTTCAAGGAGCGGACTACTGCCGCTGTCGCCGTACAGCAGCGACAACGGTGTGATGAGTTGCAGTTAGTGGATGTGCCGGAACGTTTGTCGTCTCCTTGGTGTGTGTGTTTAGAATGCATATCTAAACACAGGGGGGAGTGATGTTGCCGACAAACTGCACTAGGTAGTTGGTGTTGCGTCTCATTTCGGCTCTGATCGTTGCTGCCGGGCCGGGCCGATTCGTGATCCCGGCCGGCGCCGCTCCGCGCCGCCGCCGCCCCATCCCCCTGCCACGCCGCCGGCAGATGGGCCGTCCGCGAGAGACTTTATGGCAGTGATCGGGTGTCGGGACGCTCCTCTCTCCCGGCGACCGTGTCCTACAGCTGCAGTTGTATGAAAGGATGTGCTGTTACCGGAGGAACTGACCCGGGGGGAGGGGGTGGGCTGGCGTGGCGTCGCACGTGGAACTGTGTCCCCGGCGGGCCGGAGCCGTTAGGCCGACATGTGCCGACCGCGTGGTAGGGTTACCAGGACGCTGTGTAGTGTGTAGCTTCTTTGTTATTTCATCACTTCCGTCGCCATCTGTGTCCTCCCGACCCAGTACATAAACGGGGCGGGAGCAGCCCTCGCTCTCACTTCTTTACTTTTCGGCGCCGAGAGAGCACTGCCTCGCTCTCTGGCCAACTCTTCTTGTCAGTGATACTGTGTTGTCATCGCCTATTCGCCATCTGCAATACTCACCAGTTCGGAAGAATCTTGTGTTTGTGAATGGTGAAGAGTGGAGTGCAGCGGCGGATAAGAGCACGGGGAGAGTGGCACACAGTCAGTTCGCACAGTCTTCTATTTCACGGTGACCGGGTCTACTTATCATTCCTATCTGATTCCTTATTTTCCTAATACCTCTTGCTCTCTGAAAAGAGGGTTCCTTTGTCTCTCTGTAAAGAGGGCTCTATATTTAGGTCTTAACATGCTCTCTGTAAAGAGGGTTCCTTTGTCTCTCTGAAAAGAGGGCTCTGCATACCCTTTTTGGTCTTAACATGCTCTCTGTAAAGAGGGTTCCTTTGTCTCTCTGAAAAGAGGGCTCTGCATACCCTTTTAGGTCTGAACATGCTCTCTGTAAAGAGGGTTCCTTTGTCGCTCTGAAAAGAGTGCTCTTAAACCTTGATCCAAAATTATATCCATTCATATAGCATCCACTTCTTATATTATAAATTCCCAATTTCGCCTCATTACCATATCAACCTATATCCTGTCAGGCCCCGGTCGCCACACCAAATGATGCGAGACGTCAACACACACACAGTTATACAGTCCACTGAGTCAAGTTGAAGAACGTCTGCAACAGAATGAATGAATGAATGAATGAATGGGTGAGTGAGTGAGTGAGTGAGTGAGTGAGTGAGTGAGTGAGTGAGTGAGTGAGTGAGTGAGTGAGTGAGTGAGTGAGTGAGTGAGTGAGTGAGTGAGTGCGTGCGTGCATGCGTGCATGCATGCATGCATGCGTGTGTGTGTGTTCGTGCGTGAGTGCGTGCATTAGTGAACACGTGAGTGTATGCGTCCGTCGTGTTTATGGATTGCTATTTGGGTGGTTGTTATGTTGGTGGTGTAATGGCTGGGTGATATATAGGGAAGCATAATGGATTATCCAAAGCTTATGGGTTATATCTTGTCGTGCGTCCTTCTGACCGCGTGGATAATAACGCCTTTGAGGTACTGTTGTTTATGGTAGAATATCACCCACACTTCCCCTGGCCGAGACACGCAGGCGCTCGTCACAAATGCAGGTGATATCAAATGTGCGGCACGCCCCCAACCAGTTAACCACCGGCCGCCCACACCGGTGGCGATCGATGCCGGCCGGCTGTTGAGTCGATGCATGTTCCATGCCGGTCGTCGATTAGCGTTACTGGCGCTCACCATGCGCCGCGCGCGAGTCACGAGGACGTCCGTCCGTGAGCAGTCGTTACAGGTCATGATGAACCACCGGTGGCCGTACGCGGCGTGTGGTCCTCCAACTAGTTGGCACTTTATGGCAAAACAGCACACAAGACAGTCCAGAAAGAAAAATATATTATATATTCATGTGATACGGTTGCACGCCATATTACAGCACAGACAACTCGCTCAAACAGCTCCTTGGTATGCCTCCGACCGGAATGAAAATAGTAGGAAGAGATGAACGCTTCTTTTGACGGCGTCCAGTTATGACTCCAGCGCTAGGTATTGATCATAGATTCACAGGCGTCGATGAGCCAATGCATTTCTAAATGTGGATAATAGATCGAAACGACTCGAGTGTCATTCAGTTTTCAGTTTTCAGCAACAACACGTGTATATAAATAAACACGACACGTGACCAATCTCATAAATCGCCGCCAGCCACGCAGCTGGGCAACGCGGCTCACTTTATAACAGCTAAACATCAGACAACTGCGCTCGGCACCATACTATATAAATATACGTTCACAGGAACAGGTTACAGGCGACAAAGTAGAGCGGGTCGCTGCTGGAGCGCGCTGGCGGGCCCGGTCCCGGCCGCCGGCCGTGCACCTGTCTACCGGAGTAGGGGCGCAGCGCTGCCGGCAGAGCTGCCCTGCCGTCCACCGGCCGGCCAGACGGCTAATCCTCTCATTTGCCCAAGTGGCATCGACTGAGGTACCGCCCGGGGCCGGCCGCTGGGCGCAGTGGTGGCGTGCTTGCGGCCCCAGCTGTGGCGTGCTAGCCGCTCAGCGGGCGGCGGCGAACGGCCGGGGCGCGGGCGGGGGCGGGGGCGGGGGAGGGGCGGCGCCGCGGGGCGCGCCGCGACGGGGCACAGTCGTCGTGGCGCGGTGTCGTGCCGCCGCCAGCGCCGGCTGCCGGCCGGGCGGGCGTCGCCAGCGCCGGGCGCCAGCCGGCCCGGGGCGCAGGTCGAGACGACCCCACTGGTCACGTGGGCGCCGTGTCTCGGGCGCCCGCGCTCTCCGTTCGTGTCGAGCTGCGCCCCGTGTGGAACTGGGCCGGTCGGCGGTAGGCAGCACGAGCCCGCCGGCGCGCGGCGAGCGACCCTCAGATAGCGGCAGCGAGATCCGACCGGGGCCATCGCCAGCGACCACTAGACGCTGCGCCAACATAGGGCTGCCGCGGCGACCGAACGACAGACGTACAGACGGACCGAACAGCAGCAAATGAAGATGAAAGAGAGACAGAGAATTATATACAAAGACGATGTCACAAATGTACACAAATGGCGGTACATCAGCCGAGATGAACATCACATTTCCACGTGAACAATCCATGAAATGAGACACAAACTGAGATCGCTGAAACAAACCTCCATGGCGAAGGAGAATTCGATCGTTTCATTTTCAACAAACTGAAAATGCTTGCCATAGTCCTTCTAACCTCAAGCTTTAGTGGTTCGCGCAAACTACATGGACCAAAATAGACAACCAAAGACGATGAATAGCAGGACTTGCAGCAATGCAATTACAGTTATTACTGAATGCCTCAGGTACTATTAGCGTGATTTATTTATCCACAATAATATCTTGCCCAAATTGCACACAGAATTAATTCTAAACAGTGAAATCGGCAAAGAAATGCGGTATGACGCCCGCAGAGACTCGCGCTGGACAGCACGAGCCATTGCAGAACGCACTCAGCCCAGCAGAGTCACGCCACTTTCAGAACGATCTCACTGAGAAGCTCACACAAGAACGAGCCGACATCCGACTCAGACTCAGCTCAGACTGTGACTCGGTTCAACTCAGATTCAGCCTTCCACACCCGCAACCAGAGGGCGCCAAGCGGCGTTCAACAACAGTTGAAACAGAGTTTTTTGGGGGGGAAATAAGAAATCCTGAGACAGTCGCAGTCGGTCACAATGACAATAATAGCTGATGTTTTGACCGGTCAAAGTGTCGCTACCATGAGCTGGAGTATTTCATCGATTTAGCATACTGATACAAGCGTATATAACCCCATTGTTCATATTCAATGTGTTAATTACTTCGTCTACAGTGATATTAGCGAGCAAAGGCCATTTTTAGCACTCGACGTAGCATAGCTACAGCAGTGTTTCGTGGTAGCGGTGGCTTTTATAGCGTCATTAACGTAGAATACGTCCTAATGCTGTGTGTCCGATTATATTTTTCCGATGATAGTCCTGAGTGCTAGTTTAAAGTGTACGGACATAGTTAAACATCGTTCAATGAATCTTGTTAGCTCGAAATAGCTTTTTCGCGAAAAACCTATTACACGCAACGTCGTAAAAGCACCTTGTTATCAACATCAAAGAGGGCATGGTGAGTTGAGCGAACAGATGTTGGTGGCATTATTGCACTAATAATGAATAAATTTCCATCGCATACATTAGAGACACGAGCAAAGAAGACGCACATTTGTCTATAAATTATAATCATGTGTGCTTCGTTCGATAGAGGTTGTATCTATGTAGATAATGCCTGGCAGTTTAGCATATGAATCAAAACAGTGCAGTAGAGTAATTTAGGGTGCCCAAGCACACAGATCTGCCTCCTGTCAGGAGGAATAGGTTTTTGACCAGACTTGGGTCTGGTCACCAGTTATATTTGCAAGCTGTAGATGCAAGTTCACATAGAGCAAACAAGGTTGGTTCCACCAGAGCGATCCCTACGTCTCCATATGACCCCTTCTTGCCCGAGTATTGCTTTGTTGAGTCTTGAAACGCTCACACTGAATGAATAACCATTTTTCGGAGGAAACAGTAACAGACATTTCCCAGTTCCCATACAGGTGAACTGGCCGTCCTGGTTATGTCAGTGATCAGACGGGGCCCGCATAGGAGGTGCTTCAGACCCGCCCAACCCGCCCCTTCTCGCGGGAGGAGGTGAAGACCTTCTCCCATTACACCTGGCACTGAAGAGAGTGAGAGAATGCCTGCGGGCATGTGTATGCCGATTTGACGCCCCTCTGGCGGCGACCCGGAGAGGCGAGGGCGGCCGACAGGCGACAGGCGCGAGAAGGCCGACCCAGGGAACCGAGACGGCGCTGAGCCTCATAGACGCGGCCCAACAGCAGGGCCACCTAGGCAGGCGACATGGTGGCCTCATTGGCTAACAGAGGTTGTTGATAGAACTACATACACGATAGAGCAGATAAGCATTCATAGGCTGTTGGAACGCGACCTGATTGGGTGACACTCCACGTCCACTAAGCCAGAACTGCATCCCAGTCAGGCCCATATCGCCCTTGATATTGGACCGTTTCGACCTCTAGCGGCTGGACGTTCTGACGAAAAGTATGCTGATCTCGCGACGCCAGTGCTTCCGAGGCCTGACGACCGAGAGCGGCGGCAGCGGCAGCGGCGACGGGTACCAGAAGACGAGACGGTTTCGGCGGCGATGCGGAGCTGGCTAACCTAGGTCCGGGGGCTCAGCAGGGAGAAGAGAGACGTTGGTCTTCCTGAGCGCTGCTCCAGGTCTCAGCCTCGGATGACCCGGAGAAGCGCGTCCGCCAGCACATTCAGATGTGACTTGGTCTGCAAAGGAGAGAGAGAACCAGTCAGAGAACTGCGGCAGGCCTTACGTTCTGGAGGATATCAGCAGGCCAGGTTCCGTTTATTGGTGTACGGGGTACCTACTCTAATGCAAGGGATGAGCAAATGCTGACTGGGGCCGAAGCTGGCCGGGGCTGCGACTGTTTGACATTTGGCTTCCTACAAGCTGGTCCAATTTCTTCACTATTCACCCTGGGGCTGTTGGCTAGTGAAGCTAAACAGACGAAATAATTAAATTGCTTGTGTAAAAGTGTTTTGCAATTGAAACCGAAGACTGTATATAAGTACACACCTACTTAGTCCATCAACAGCGTATGCTATTCAGAAAACAGGAAAGGTATTGCACCACAGCTTATGCAATAACTGCGCACTTACCTAGCGACATCAACTGCAAATTGCTATCTACGTAAGGCAATTTTCTATGCACTTAGAGCGTGCATAAAAACTCCGTGTAATTTACCTACTCGTGGGAATATTTTATGACCGTTTAGGGCCGCACGCCTGTCCAGCGATTCTCATATGCTGCTTATAAAGACGGCACCGTATGCGGGCCACATATGGGAAACGGACTAGCCTAGCGGCGAGCATATGCTGGGCGAATTTCTGGTCTGGAGAAGCCGCATTCCCTCCGGGCTCTCCGGTGCCCACGGCAGCTGGGATACGGACAGCCGCTTCCCAGTGGACGCGGAGAAGGCGATGACCAATGCCGCAGGGTGTCACGGACTGACAAAAACTCCCCCGAGGGCGCGACAGCGGAGGATAGCACCGCATACGGATTCTCTCCGCATACGGACTTACGGACAGTCCCGTCCGATGTCCTCGGGCTGTCCCTCTAAATCGCGCCTGCCCACTCTGATAAATGTGCGTGTGTGTGGGTATGTTTTTGCAGCTGCGTCCAGAAATGCCACTTCATCATTGATGGCCGCCAAAGGAATCCTGAGTGCCAGTTCGCTCCTCGCAGTCCACCATTTTCGCCTGTTCTGCTTTTTGTTCGACGGACGAACTACTGGAATGAAAACAGACACCGAAATGGAGCCAGACTAGGGACAGTCATTACATTAGTTCAGCTGGGAAGGACTGGAAAAATTGCAGCCTCGAAAAAGCGTGACTCAGAGTGAATCCCAGTCAACACTGCTCCTTTTTCTGAGCGGTGTCGAGGTGATCAGGAGCCGCGAAACGACGGGCTGCCAACTTCCACAGGCAGGGGAACCAGTGGCGTTGGTAGGTGTGTGTGTGTGGGGGGGGGGGGGGGCTGGACCGTCACCCGACCCAGGCTATAGGTCGGCGCTATTGATCGGACAATCTTGTGCGTGTGCGTCCAATCATGTGAAATGACTGAAAGGCGCTGTCCACCGGCTATAAACACACGCCACAGTTTGCCTACAAACACATCGTCCTGGCCACAGAGTGCGGTGTTTGTATCAACGGTGTCGTCGTTTGTGTGGGTGCTGGTGTCAGTGTTAGTTTCTGCTTCTGCGTCTGCGTCAGTGTCAGTGTCAAAGTCGGTGTTGGTGTGTCACTGTTAGTGCCTTTGTCCCGGTCTGCCCACCCGTCTGCTCTAGAAACTAAAACAAAATGCGTCTGTGTTTTTCTCCTTAGTTCCCGTGTTGGTATCTGTTCTCATTGTTAGTGCCAGTGTCAGAGTCGGATTCGGTATCAGTGTTAGCGTCGGAATTACTGTTTGTGCCGCTGCCAGTATCAGTTTCAGTGTCAGTGTCGGGGTCATTATCATTTCGGTATCGGTGTCAGTGTCTCTCCCGCTGATACAGTTCAAACACTCACCGTTTTATAGAAGAGGCAGTTGCGACGATCCTCGTCCTCGCCCCCCGGACATGAGTTATAACCGTCGCAGAGTAAGTGATCGTCTATACAGAGATAGCGATCGTATATGTTGGGCGTTGGACACGCGAACCGGTCCATCCCCTCCTCCGTCGGGGGACACTCTGAAATAGACACAAAAAAACGAGCTCAGTGAACAGTTAACATAATTTTGCAGAGGAGGATCAGTCTTACACGGTCGACCTGTGATAATGAAAATAAACACGGAAGGGGATGAGATACGAACACATATAATGGTATCAGTTCTTGGTGGCGACATTTTGTGTTTCAGTATCAAAATCCAACTTCTACTTTATCTGCAACGTGCGATGTTTCTTTTTCTTACATTATCTACAAATGTTTGTTGGTAAGCGGTAAGCTTTTACAATAGAGACATGCTATTTACGCTGGCGCTTTTCTTTAAAAGTCCTATCCGTTGCTGATAAAAGGCACTCATCAGCCCAACTCCGATCTTGTATCCACCTAAGTATGCAAATGCATAATTTGCTATTTTTCGGACTGAGCTAAGTCAGCACAAACTACTTGAGCAGATCGGAGCCGGGCAGAAGCAACCAATCAAAGACGCCCAAAGTTGGCCGCGGCCGGCACACTGGCAGACAGAGTTAACTTCGCTCGGCCAATCGAGCCGCCGGCCGGTGACTGAACGTGGTGCAACAGCGCCGCCCCGTACGTATGTAGTCGATGGCAGGGCTACGCCGGTCGCGTGATCACGGGCCTCTTCACTGGGCGGCACGGCAGCAGCTCAGAACGATTCAGTAACCACGTCCGTGGTTCCAGCAACCACGTCCGTGGCTTCACCAACCACTGTGGCTTTACGTCCGTTCTACGTAGAAAAGTACATAGGGGAGAGTGGGGCAAAGCGGCCACCCTAACGTTTCTAACGATGCCGACGCTTGATTTTTAAACTTGGAAAGATTCTTTCTATACCAATGTGATCCCTATTAAATTGTCTTTTATTCCAACTGCGTTTCATTTCCAAAGGCGTTCACATATGGGAGATATTGACAAAACTTTAAACCTATAGCATATTGGCCACTTTGCCCCATCCCTGAGGCAAAGCGGCCACTGGCGACTTCTCAAGTCCCGATATGAGAAACAGAATAGTTGCCTCATGCACGACTAGGGTATTTGATGGTGACAAGGTTAAAGGGAAGATGGATGTTTACTTTGTTATCTTCCCACCTATTGCTAAACAAAGAAAGAATTTTCTTGGAAAAACATTTAATTGCATAATTTGGTAACTCATGTAACCGAAAAGTGGCCAAGATGAATGCATGACGACACATTTGAATATAAATAATGTTTTTATCCAGATGGAAACAACTTATGGCCAATTGGGGGATGGCCACTTTGCCCCGGCCGCTTTGCCCCGCGCATACCGTCCGAGACAAAAAAATTCCAGCTCAGCTATTAGTGGGGTAAAAAGCATTAAAATTGGTAGAAGGCATGTACGATAACCACGCAATGCATGGACAAAAACGCTTATAAAAATTCCAAACGGTTATGGAATAAAATAACATTTAAAAATTGTAAACATAATTGGTAACCTGGCAAGAAATGCTTTTCCGTGTTTCACAGAACAATGGCAATGGGCCTGAAACCCCGTTCTGGCTCATTCGAACGACCGCAAAGAGAAGTATAATTGGAAATCATAAATTGGAACTGACGCCAGCTGTGGAGGGCTAAAACGATGGATGGCCGCTTTGCCCCGGGTGGCCGCTTTGCCCCACTCTCCCCTACGACCAGTCTCAAAAGCGGGCGTTTCGACGTCCAATGGCATCCTATTGATGTGCGTACATCTCATCGTAATACAATCCGTCACAGTGGTATACAGCCAATGCACAAAGGCAAACGGCCTATCCCAGTAGAGGAGGACCTGTTTTAGCCGCGCACGGCCCGTCATAGTAGGCTATGATCCGTTCCTGTGGCGTACGGCCCGGGCCAGTTACCGAGCATGAGCCTTCGATCGATGGCGTCCCGTGAGCCGGAAGACGCGCTTAGCGGGAGCCAGCTACTACTGATGGGACCGGGCACACAAGGCCCAGGTACAATCGCAGTATATTGACCATTGTGCACCGGCCGGAGTTTCCCACATATGGCTTCAGCTATTGTATATAATATTATAATGTATAGTGGCTTACAATGCACTCAGGTGATTAATCATGAACACGGAGATGAGCTCTTCTCTTTCGATGTCGTAGCTGTTTCTTGATTTCCACGTTTGATGTAAGTAAACCATTCTATTTATCATTTCCATCTTTCCTTTCCTTATTTTTCTCTCCCAGCCAGCAAGGTGACTGTGCAGTTGCACCAGGGCTGCTACCGGCACCATTCGAGTTTGTTCGAATCAACTTTAATGCCAATGAATCAAATTGCCCTTTCGTGTCTTCTGATTTGTTAAAACTCCATCTCATTTGCTCGGCAACTCACTCGATTTAGCTCGCGCTGCCGGTAGCGGGGTCGGTATCTTTGAAATCTGGCGCCGCCAGACGAGGCCGTCGGGCGATCAGCCGCCCACAGGCTGGCCAGATGAGCCAGTTCATGTTCCTGACACGAAGCACCGGCCTGGATGAGAGCCGCCGTCAGGAGGAGCAGACGGCCGCCGCAGGGCCGACGTTACTTGGTGCGGCATGATGAAACACTGTGCTCGCAAACTGCTTAACCCTCGCCCGCACATGCCATTTTCCCATCCTAGAACGCACATGGGGGGGGGTTGCCACCCCCCCCCGCGCCATTTCGTTCCTGTTGGAGATAGAGCTTAGCGGTAAAGACCAAAAAGATTTTTTTGGGAAGAGACGAATCCAATGATACCCAGTTTTACCTTCTCAGGTCAGTCATTGACCTTCCAGGTCAGGTCAAACTAAAAAATGTTGCTGTTTTGGGTCACCGTTGGATATCAAGTGCGCTGCTTATCATATACCGATGACGATGCTGTTTTCTGGTGCCAAGCCAGCTAGAACCTCTTTGTCACACTACCCGACCAGGTTTTTGCTGCTGAGGTCATTTCAGGTCAAGTTAGGTCAAGGTCAATTATATGTGTTTGTATATCTGTGTGTGTCTGTGTGTATACTGATGTGTGCACCGATTGTTTTTGTGTCCATATTACATGAAATCATAATCTGAGAAGCTTTTACCAAAAATGCAGTGAGAAAACTTCACAAAAAGTAAATTCAGATTGCCTAAAACGCAATTATCTCAGATGACCTAGGTTGACCTTGACCTTGACCCTGACACCTGTACATCGTCGAACAACATGTTCCATGATAGGTGGGAGGTAAGACTGGCAAAAAGGCCGAAATCAAGGTGTCAAAAGCTCACAAGGCCCATGGCAAGCGCAAGATGTTGAGAATTGGCCATTTGGGTCATGACATGACCTGAAAAACAAGGTCATATCTCCGAAACCAAAAATCACAGAAACTTGAAATTTTCAGTGGACATTGAGAAAGGATAGAGGAGCAGCTATACGAAAAATCAGCCTTCTAGCTCTAAAAATGTTGAGTGCGGAGCAGAAAGTCTACCTGGGGGGGGGGTGGCAACCCCCCCCCCCCATGTGCGGGCGAGGGTTAACTCCTAGGCAAAAGGTCAAAGAAGCAACAAATGCCGGCTAATGAAACCACATAGTATGAAGTAATACAATGATATTATGATTACATGCAGTACTGAGGATCATGAGCATGACTAATAAAACTGCAAAGCCAATTACGACTCAGCTTGCGACCTCTTCGGCATACCCATATAGAACCCATGTCTTTGGCCACATTCCCGAGGTGGTAGCCACCTCGTTCAAAACGCAGCTCCCGCGAACCCAAACTGACAGTAGCAGCTGGTCTGCATCAGGGCACATTCAGCCCCACCCAGCGACCGACTTTAAGAAGGGGTACTCCTGCATTGCAAAATATAGACGACAATGGTTACCAGCCGGGCATCGCCCGGCTCACCGATTTACTTGTGGGTTTAGTTTTTTAGTTAAGTTTTAATAGGAATTAATTTTATGTGATAGCTTGTTGTTGTCAAAGTAGTGAAGTTTGTAAGTGAACTTCATATCCGTGAATGAAACGCATGATGCATGTTGAAAGCTCATTGCTCATGATATCATCGTCTTTGAATTGTTAATACTTCATTTGAAAGAAGCTCCTTAACCCGCGCACCGACGGGGGGGCGGATATCCGCCCCCCCCTGAGGTTTTTCGCGAATAGCGGGAAAACCGCGGCGCGTAGCGCCGCGAAATTTTGTATGACTATTCCCCTAATCAATTTTACACATGGTGTGCAAGTTTGAACCTCCTACCTTTTAAGGTCAGGTCACCAGGTCACTTTGAATGACCCAACCTCAAGTCACTTTTTTGCAACTTTGTCACCGTGCCAGAGCTACAGTAGATGTCGGAGGCCTTTGAAAGTCGCAGGATGTTATAAGGTCATTAGTAGCTACAATTTGTATATCTCGGAATTTTGATATCGGTGACCTAAGGTCAGGTCAATTTCGCGACCTCCCCATTATAAGTCAATGGGGGAAAAATCAACTCCCTATTTTTACCACTAAAACGGGTCGGAATGGCCCCATACAAGATTACTTTACTTATAAGGTTAGTTCACTAAAAGATTTTTGCCGCCCAGGTGACGTCACACAATATGGTAGCTATATGGTAGCCATTTGCGAATACATAAATGACTTGCGTGAGACATTTATAATGCGAGGCATTGTTCAAGGCCGTACATAGGGTATTAGGTTATAAGTTATAATGTAAATACCTGCCGCACTCTCGTATTTTGCCTTTTAATAGGAAGTGATAATGGGCAAATTTGCGATTTTAGATCGGGCTATTGAGGATTCAGACGGCTCTAGCTTTATTTATCAGATCGCTTATAATATCATCAGGTTTTCTGTCATTATTTTCCTTTTTTGTTATAGTGTCTGTTCATCAGCGGTTGGTTTGTATCGCACAATAGCAATGAAATTGAAATGCGGATGAGTGATGAAATTTTTATTCAGCTACGAATGTTTTCAAATTTTGGGTTGAGCATGGCGGTATATACTGCCTTGAGCATGGCCATCAGATATGCAATTAGCCCCATAACAATGCTGCATTGGCTATATTGACAAAGTG